CCAAATCATTAATATAATCTTTCTTTACCCAATTTCTTAACAACTCATTGAGTTGAGTCTCGACATTTTTGATGGGATTTTTTCTTATTTTTTTGTAAGTGAGAGAATCATCAAGTCAGCCGTTAATTTTTTCAACATAAACAGACCGGTCTAGCGCAACCGTCATACTTCCCTTGTCTGCACGTATAAACACTATGTTTGGATGATTCCTTTGGAACTCGGAAGCCTGCTTTATTCTATCAAGTAAAGCGCGTTCTATATCACTTAACTTTGAAGTTAAAAAATTATTCAGAGATAATATTAAATTAACCTAGCGGTTTCCATAAATTTTCTCTCAGTGTCTTACGCTATTTTCAAAATTCTTACTAACCTTGATAAAATCTCTCTCGTCGGTGCTTGGCAGGCTGAAATTTCCTCCTAACTGTAATAAACTGACTACAAAATCAGGGATGTTGTGATTACTTATTTTTTTAAATCCTCGAATTAAAGAAGAATTTTACCGGAACATCAGGTGTTAGCTCGTTATTTCCTTCTCCTTATCTTTTTATTTAAACATACAACGAGCATTAAACATAATAAACATTAATATTGGCGTAAAATTTTCTCCTTTTGCCAACAGTGTCAGTTGTAACAAGAACAAAAGTTTTGATAAATTTTTCCATCGCCGATTTCGTCATAATACTTGTAAAAAAAAGAAGATAATCGAATAAATACGAATTTGAGCTTCACGAACTTATTCTACTGATAATAAATAAAGATAAAACTCCGAGAGAGGATTATTCATCGATATGCTTTGTACTCACAATTTGCGAATGTAATTGCTACGTTTTTGTTTTATACATTTGTCCATATTTTGCATTTTTTATGCAGAACAAAAGTTTAACGAAATAAAAAAACAGCTCGCGCATCGCATTTATAAACGCGTTCTTTGTAAAAAAAAAAAAAATGAATTGCTCTCTTCCGCACTGCGCAAACAAGGATAACCGAGCAGCAAATGTTCATATACGACAATTCGCTGATCATGAGAACCGATAATTGTCTGCCACGTAATTAGCATCGTGCATTCGTGATAACCGGTTTGTGTGTTACGTAAGAACAATAATTTCCTCGAAATGCCTGTATGTAATTAGAATACGGTTTGACGATAATGCAGGCCGGACGGTATAAAGTCGAATGAAAAAATAATATGAATTTCTCATCGTTTCTCGCGCGTGTTGTATGTACGCATGTGTATGTAATAGAGGTCTATATACACGATCGTTTGTCATCATGAGGGGATTATGCAATGTATATTTCAGAATATATGGCATCTGCACGAATTATTTTCGGAACTTCGAACGTGGCTTAGAATGCACAAGCGAAATATTTATAGCGTATCCTCGGAAAAAAGCGCGCTATAAAAAGAAACTGTTTAATCCCGGATTAAAAAATTTCGAGACGTTTAACATGCCAAGTTAATATCTGACGAGAGACGAAAAATAATCACATTTGAAAATGAGATCATTGGCTTATATTTATAAGATAATTGTTTAAATATATTGTTTTATTATTGTTATGTATAAATGTTTATTTAAAGAATTTTGAAGTATTTATATAATATATAATATATAATATGTAATATATACTTTATTTATATCAAGGTGCAGAAAAAAGATCTTACAAATGCCACTCAAATTTGCACGAGCTTTGTCCGAGTATTATAAACGATAAGAGCAATAGCATTAAACTGAAACTGCGCGTGAATACATACGTATTACTTAATATTCTGGAAAAAAAACATGTGCATCTTGTTTATCGTGATCAATTTGACACTGGTAAAGTAGCGACTGAAAATAAAGACACAAAGAAGAAAAAAAATGGGTCGAAACAACGAGACGTTTTTTCCCAACGTGATATTTACATACTAAAACCGAAGCATTTTCTATTGCGTCATCTTTATTCTGTTATCGATTAAAGATTATCAATCGTACAGTATAATGATATCCATATATATGTATGTGTGTATGTATGTGTATATATACACACACCCAAACATATAAAAGACCGACGTGGAACAGGATACGACGACGTTGTCCGCGTCGCAGCGCATTTATCTGTGCACTCACTATAGAAGATACTCATAGGATCTAATTGATATTAATGATAAGACGATAATGTAACGATACATTATGGATGGATTTTGAATTAATTCTTAAAGAATTAACTGATAAAAACTTGCAACTTAATGAATTTCTCAGTATATGTCTGCAATCACATGTATTATAGAAAAGAAAAGTGATTCAATTCAATAAAAACTAATGAAAATTATTTGCAAGTACAGTGTTATTCACCTATGACAAAATGCGAATTCCTATTGTCTTAGTGTTATATATATATGTATATGTATGTATATATGAGACGCGCTCTTTTTTTCAGACCGAGAAAGAGATAGGATTGAAGCGCTCGATATACTTTGCACGAGAAACAAAAATAACGAAAAAAACAGTGTTAGAATATTATGCAGACATTCGTTTCATAAAGTTACAATAAAAAGTATAATATTGTACTTTATTATAAAAAATTGTTTCAAGGTCCCCTTTCAATCATTACTGCATTATTTTTGCTTCCTAATCTTAAAACGAGCGCAATTACGCACAATTATTTGTCAAAGATATATGTTTAGATGTATGTGTATCATAAAAATCTGAAAAGTTCATACATATATATATATGAAAATCTAATTATTTGTATTAACTTTAATCATCCTGAGCTTTTATACTAATAATCCCTCTTTCTTTCACAAAATTGCTCTAAACTTAATTCACATAGTAATAACATGTTTATATATGTAAATATTCTTATTTATACATACGTATATATCTTATTTATACACACATAATCTTTTCTATATATGT